CACTTGCAGAAAGTTCAGGGTCTGTATTGCTTAATTGATGCAACATATATATATATCTTGATAACTGATTTATTTCTTTGTTTGTTGTTAAGCACAAACCTACACAATACGCTATGTGTACTCTGCCCACCATGAGTATAAAAACTCAGTTTTTAGCGTTATAAGCCTTCAAACTTCCCTCTGAGCCCATTGGACGGGAGGGGGAGCATATTAATTGAAGCAAAACTCCCATATCTCACTTTTTCATGTCCTGCAGTTTGATATTTTTATTTCAGTTTTATAAAAACTATGATCTTTGCGATAAAATGTATCATGCGTGTGTTCTTAGATGTAACATTCCTAGAGCAGTAAAAAATATAAACAAAATTCAAGTTTTTTATCTCAAATATTAATATAAATCAACATTGTAAGTTTCTTTTTTATAAAGAATATGACATTCTATTGAAGAAAAACATTTTTACAAAATGGTTTTTCTTACCATTTTTTGTTACAAGTTTGAACGATAGGTGTGATCACGTGAGAGGTATTTTTGGACGAATAAGGTAAACATCGAAATCGTTCAGAACTGATATTGGTTTTTCCTTGAGTAAACTTCTAAATTTTCTTTACCAAGAAGTCTGTAGATCATCTGTCGATCGAAAGATAATTCAGCTGACAGCAAAGTGTAAATCGTCATTGTGAATGTGTTAGAAAACAGAAAGAAAAAGTTCGTAATAAGAACATTTTACCCTAATAGTACATTAATGAAAAATGTTAAATATATACTATGGTGCAGTGTTCTGTAACTATCAAAAACAAAAAAGGGATAAAGTTTCTAGTTTATTTTCCCGTTTATTTTAAGAACGAACTCTTGCCTGACGTAATTCAGTTCCTCCCTTTTCTCTCGTGGATTACAACAAATACTCTTGAACAACTAGCACTTGCGAAGACTTTTAGAGTTATCCTATTTCATAGTGTGGTAAAAACTGAAAGGTTATCAACTTATTACTTTCTTTTGTAACTATAGCAAAAACAGTCTTTTATTTATTAGTGTAAATGAACCTGTATAAAAAGTTATCTGTTTTTGTGTGACGCATATCCAGAATGGACTCTACTGCACTTTAAAACAAAGTTTAAGACAAGACAGTGTGTATCTGTTGCTGTTGGAAGTTAAGCACAAAGCTACACAATGGTCTATCTGTGCTCTACCCCACCACGGGTATCGAAACCTGGTTTCTAGCGTTGTAAGTCCGCAGACATACCGCTGTGCCACTGGGGGGCGTGTGTATCTGAAGACAAGCTGAATGCCCGTCATATTACGGGAAATGATTATTAAATTTTCTTCTCGAAATTATATATAAATAAATGTTTTATGAACATGTTTTCTAAAAAGTATTATAATCTAGTGAAAATATCTGTATGGAGAATGACTATCATATTTCTAATTTTTCACGAAAACAACACCTCCTTTAAGTATTGCTTGATTAGCATTTTGACTTCTTTATATTTTAAAGTTATGTTCAAATTTTCTACTTGATCAATTCTTATAGATTGAAACGTACGAAAAAACGGGTTCCCAAAGACATATTCATACTTGGCCAACTGTATGACCCTGCAAATTATTAACTGTGATGGTAAGAGCAGTGAATTTTATTATGAATTTCGGGGTCTTCTCTTTGGACTGTCTTCCTAGTTTGGGTTTTGTTAGCCCGCTGAGCTGAAGAAGCGTGCTTTAATTTGGGTATTTTCAAAATTGAAATGTGCTGCGGGTAAAACATGCAGGTTATTATTGAGTTGTAGGGAAGGTTCCTATTGGAAAAAAAAAAAATTGTTGATGTTGCGTCGATGTGTCTCCCTGACAAGCAAATATAATGGGGAATTCCAGCCAATTATTATGATTTTTTGTGCGCCAACAATACCAAGTGTGGGGTGTGCATTTACCCGATTCGATTTTATTACTCATCACGATCTCTACCAACCTACCCTCAAACCTAACTATATGCTCAAAGTAGCGCATCATCCGTTTTATATATATTGTCGCGGCATAAAGCGCCGTCGTTTCGTGTAAATTGCGTGTCAATCGGTACCGCAACGGCCGAGATATCGGCGTGACAGACGGACGGCTTTTTGTCTTTATATAGTAGATTATGTTTACGAGATATTTGAAACCTCTTGAAATAAGGAAGACTATAATGCTTGGGTGAACAGTTCACAAATACCAGGATTCCTTTTTTATACTAATAGTCTAGCACAACAGACCATCTTGTAACCATGATCAGCAAGTACAACAAGACCATTCTGTTATGGGGATCAGACAAGCACAGCAACACCATTCTGTAACTGTCATTAGATAAGCACAGCAACATCATTATGTAACTAAGGTAAATGTAATCAGTGATGGATTAAGGCTTGAGCGATTTGGGCGACCACCAGTGGCCCATGGTCTTAGGGGGGGGGCATACAGAAATGGGGAAAAATTATAAGTAAGATGAAATTTATAAATATCTTATTTTGTTAACTCTCTCAATGTAGCCTCGGTCCCAAGGACCGACCACGTGACCATTTTGTACTACATAGTATATAGTCAATTTGACCGACCTCGTAACCACAAAAAAAATCCTAATTAGCCCTTTTTTATTTCTAGAATGACTTCAAATTATAATATGAAACTACATTTATAATAGTTATAAACTCGTAACACTATACTCTTATTTATACTTAAATTTTATTGTTTTATTGTACTTTGAATCGTGTGTAACCATTGGGGCCATTAAAAGTCCTAAATAACTGGCGAACGTGCAGCTTATGCTACGCCCTGAAATATCACTAGGTACAAGCTACTTGCGAGCGTATATCGTGAAAAATTTCTATTATTTATTTTATCTGATCTATCCTTAAATAATTTAAATAGTAGAAGATCAGAGAACAATGTTTGACGAATTTGAAAACCGAGGTGCTGAAGTATGTGGTCATAGTGAATATAGCCCAGTTCAGAAGCACGTCCGGTTGTGCAACCGTCGCCGTGATGATGGAGATGCAGAGGATACCATACTACCACCCAAGGATAAATCCAAAGCTGAAGTATTTTTCGTTGTGTTCGACCAATTTGTCACTGCATTGAAATACCGTCTTGGTGCATATAAGGATGTTGCCACCAAATTTCGGTTCCTTTCCAAATTATCATCTATTTCATGTCAATAAATTAGCCAAACCACAAAATGTCTTGTCCGTTCTTTTCTGAATGATGTTGAACCCAAGATAGAAAACAAATTGATCCAGTTTTCCACATTGGCAATTCACACAATCTGAACCAACTGAAATAGTGGAGTTAGGAACGTTCCTCGTTCTCCATAGACACGCCCTTATCCAAATGTTTCGTAATGTTGAGACAGTACTGAGAATATAATTGTCCATGATGAGATTAATTAAACAGCAGCGGGGAGCGATCGTTTTCGAAATTGAAACGAATAAAAAGTGAGTTCAGGAACAAAATAGGACAAAGTTGACTGAACAGTTTGTCTATAATGAACACAGAATGTGACACACTTCGAAAGCTAGACTTTTCGAAACTCTAAGAGTTCAGTTATAATAAAGCCAGAAAAAACAAAAACAATTCTAGTTGTATACATGTACATGCAGGATCATGTCTTCATGATCATTCATGAGTGAATAAAATGTTTTTGCACACGTTTATGGTTTGTCTATATTGTTACCCGTGTTAGAAGGCTATGTATATAATTAAAATGTTCTTACATGTATATGCTTAACATTATGATTTTGACAGTGAAGTTGACTCAGCTCGCTAGAGATCAATACATCTATGATGGGAGGGGGGGGGGAGCTTTTCTTCTCCTACCGCCCGGTGCTCAAGTCACCTTTAACCCATCACTGAGTATAATGTTTCATTTCAAGTTGCTAAATGAATGATGTATTAAACGCACCCCTCAACATGTATGGTAGTTTTATTGACAATATTCATTAATTTAATTTTGTGAAAGTAAGATGTTATAAATTCCATTTTTGTTAACCATTGTTGCTAAGGGAAGTGACGCGATACTTGAAAGAGGTAGTTAATGGACTACCTCAGTCTCGGAAGTTTTGGTCAACGTTTTGATGTCGTTCAAAACTTCCTCGACAGTAATCGGAATGGTTTTACAGCGTACAGTTTGGTTTGAATTTCGCCCAAAGTTACACGAGGGCTATCTTCGCTAGCCGTCCTTAATTTAGCAGCTAGTCATCACCTCCCACTGCCAACCCTTGGGCTACTTACTCTTTTACCAACGAATAGTAGGATTGACCGTCACATAATAACAGCCTCACGGCTTAAAGAGGCGAGCATGTTTGGTGGAACGGGGATTCAAACCTGCGACCTCCAGATTCAGATTGCCATGCCGGTCCTACAGCGTACAGAACAACAGTCACAATATGTTTATGTGAAGTTGGTTTCTCCAAATTACAGTCATGTACATTTAATCCATTTTTGTTTAGAACGATAAATTTATTTCGATTTAAGGATGTTATTTCAAATAATTAACGATCATTGTTATTTACGAGTGGTCAATATAAAAGAAAGTAAAAATACTTCAACATAAGTGGAAATGTATCGCACAATGTCTTCCAGTGGGACACCGCTAAGTCTACGGACTTATAACGCTAAAATCCGGAGTTTGATTCCCCGCGGTGGACATACTAGAGAGCCTAATGTGGCTTTGCTCTAAACAAACAAGCGAACATACAAGTGTCGCACAACAAAACAAAATGAAGAGCACAAAGCATGTTTAATAAACATTTCGGAATAACTAAATATAAATGAGAAAATTTAGAATAATAATAAGTCATACGAAGATTGCATGCTGTTGAGAGAAGGAAGGAATTCGGTTTCAGACTTAGCAGTAGTAAGAACTCTAAAGTGCGATATATTGATCGAATGTTCTGTATGTAAGGATTGTTGATTCTTCTACCTATGTTGACCGATAGTCTCTCACGTTCATGCGCTTATACGTACATATAAGTTAAGATGGCGCTTCGTTTCGCCAGTACAGGAGACCTTAAAGTCTCCGTATTGTACGAATAAACGAGTCGTGAATAGTGGAAGTGAGAATGAGCAACAGCTAAAGGTTCGTGAAAGTCTGATGATTATTAATTTGAAGCCGTCTTTGAACTAATATAATTCCGCTTTCACCTCAAATTGTAAGTTCGTTCCTATCTCTTTCTCTAAACATTTCTAGTTGCTCACATAGCGTTCTCTTGTGATGGTTAGTAGAACACTTCTCAATATTAGTGGGCTCTTTCTCGTAATAAGAGGTTTAGTAGTAACAGTGTTATTCGTGTAAACTGTAACAATAGGGTTAAAGTAGTAATAATAAGTGGTACACCACTGTTAGTAGTGATAAAGATTCTTTGCTGTAACAATAAGATTAAGATTGCGATATGCAGTACAATAATATTCGTGTAA